CGTAGCACTGCTGGCGGGTTCTGGCGGTGCACTGGCCCTGTTAGTACGTGGGGCGACAGTACCAAGTCATATCGTGCTTTGCGGTAGTCCGGGTGCTCTTGCCTTTATCACGAGAATGCAAGAGTTGATGTCCGGTTTCCTTTTCGGAGTGCTGTGTTGCCCTTGCATCCTGCAATTTTTTTGCAGGTCAGCAAGCCGAGAGGCATCTGTGGTATTTAATACCACGTACGGCCATGTAGTTTTTGAACAGGGCTAATGCTGCATAATTGGGTTTTGTAGTCCGAAACTATTCACCTGGGGAAGGTGTCATACTGATGACATGTTGTCTAGATGGTGGGTTTTAAATTTTTGTGTGTGCATGTTGATAAAGCTAAGTTTAAATGTGTGTGTCAGGTTCCCTAACTTGTCATGATAGTTGTGAATCCTCTTGAGCATCCCTGAGTATGCGATTTCATCTGCTTTTTAGCCTAAGAAGGCTTTTTAAGGTTTAACGGAACTTCCTGTCCATCTTAGATCTTTTAGGTCTAAAATTAGCCTTAAAATGCATTGCTCAGTGTTTCTGTGCTGAAAAGCTGGTGTGCGTAACTGCCTCTCCTCTTCCCTGCAGGCACCATGGTGCGCATGAATGTTCTAGCCGATGCTCTCAAAAGCATCAACAATGCAGAGAAACGTGGGAAACGCCAAGTTCTCATTAGGCCGTGCTCCAAAGTAATCGTCCGGTTTTTAACTGTGATGATGAAGCACGGTAAGTCTAGAGTGCACAGCGCTGACTTTTTTCTCATTCATGGTTTCCATGGATGCTGTTGTGTTAAGGTGCTTTTTGACTAAAAGTAAATCAAGATGCTTGAACTAGTTTTGTACAGCATAGTTGATTGAGTTGTATTAATGTAGCTAAGTATTATGTATTTGATTTGTCTGTTTGCTAATCTTTTGTAGGTTACATTGGTGAATTTGAGATAATTGATGATCACAGAGCTGGGAAGATTGTTGTCAATCTCACAGGCAGGCTCAACAAGGTAGGATGTGTCTTCCTGAATTCAGTTCTCTAGGAAGGTGTTTAAATGAAACTTTTTTTTTTAATGTTTGCCTGCTCCAGTTCTGAAAGAATTACTTGTAAAGAAGGTGGTGTTTATTGAATCCAGGTAAATGAGAGTGATATGGGTATTATCAGTGGTTACCAAATGCTTGTTAATTTTTCTAGATTCATAATGGTATGGTTGACTAATTAAATTTCTTTTAAACTCCGAATATGTAAGACACTTTCAGGGAAGTCTGCTTGCAAGTGCTGTGTGCTTCTCTCTCTTTAAAGGCTTTCTGGCTACCTAGTCATTCCTCAGTTTTCTTTGACGATTAAGCTGTCTAGAAGACTTGTCTTAAGAGATAGGAGCTGAGTTGCTTTCCAGTTGATGTTTAGTACCTGTAACTGTTGAAAAGACAAGCCTTTCTCCTGCTGCTAGATGGGCTTTGCTTGCAGCTGAGGGAAAGTTGAATGTTATGTTAATTAATGCTTTTTCAGTTCCTGGGGCATGTGAAGTATTCATGTGTGTTTTGGAAATTTTTTAAATGCTTTTGTCTCAAAATATTGAGCTGTCTAGTTCTGTGCCAACTTGCTGTGCATCGTTGTTTCCAATTAAGCTATTCAAGTGAGAGGTGGCTCTTTAGTAAAGAAGTAAAAAAATTACTTGGTCACAATATGTTGGGGGCTGTCTCCACAATGAACAAATATTGCAGCTGAAAATGGCTTGAGTGTAGTAGGCAGAGAATTCTGGCACCACCCAAATTACTAGTGTTACGTGTCTGTAATAAAAATAATGTATGTCGGGTTTGAGTACAGTGTTCCTTGAACTCTTCTGGGATGATTTTGTAACAGAACTTCCCGGGCGCAGCTGGATATAGTGTTTCTCTCAATAGTTGCAATAAGGGAACAGCTGTTTGGTACAGAAAAATACCCATCACTGCAGGAAGGTGTGCTTCTGTTTTGCTCTTGGATATTTATTAAGATAATTGGTGGTAGTAGGGGTCGCGGTCAGTATACAATTAACTTGAAAACTTCAATAACTTTTATGCACGTTAATTTCTCCCTGTTTAAAATCTACAGGTATTTTTTGCTGACTATGTGTGATGATTAGAAGTAGATTATCCTTGAGTAATAGCAGGATTTTTGATGATACAGGATGCTTAATAATCTTCAGTGGTTTATAGTATGCTTTTGTGCTCTCCCAGGTCTAGCCATTGATTTGTTAGTTTAGCTTCAGCAGCAGTGTAAGTGACTCTGTTTAAGTGAGGAGGAAGAGGCAAGGCTAAGAAAATAACAGCTGAATAGCTGTGTGAGAGTCTCAACTTACCTGAGAGGAAGCGCTGTTTCATGTTACGGGTAATGGAGCGTGCTTCTTGGTACTCTAATCTTTTGTTCCCAAAAATACTTGAATTGCAGTTGT